GAAATACTGCGGATGCATTTGTTAATACAAATGGCATTCGATTGTATTCAAAGTGTCCATCTGGAATAACAAACGCAGTAAGGTGTTTAGAATCATCTGACATGGGGATCTGATGGTAGCCCTGTGTCAGATCCAACGTAGTAAAGTACTTTTGGCCTTGCAGGTTATCTATTTGGTCTTCAATCAATGGCATCGGATATTTGTCTTTGATGGTTTTTCGATTTAATGCCCGGTAATCGACACAAAGTCGGCAGTCACCATCTTTCTTTGAAACAAGTATGATGGGACTTGCATACTCTGAATCAGATTCTCTTATAATGTTATTGGACAAAAGTTCGTTAATTATGCTGTTAACCTTTTCTCTTTCTGAAAGAGATAATCTGTAAGGCCGATAGGTAACGGGTGCAGCATCATTTAATTTTATTCGCATTTCAACAATAGAAGTCCTTCCTAATTCACTGGTGGTAAAAGCGAAACAATCTCTGTACAAGTTTAACAGGTCTACGAGGTTTGACTTAGCCATAGGTTCAAGATTTGGATCTATATTTAAATCATTCATGGTAATTGAAGATACATCGTTGGTTATACGCCTCACATTTACCACGTAACTGTTTTCATCGTTGGTGGCTAGTATTTCTTTCGGTATTCCTACGCCTCTTGCTACGATTTTACCTTTCTTAAGGAAACATGGTATATGACATAAACTTATCACAACTAAACGAGCGATACCGTTAGTAATAGCATAAATTCCGGGTAAGATTAAATATTGCGAATCTTGGAATCGCTGTATCCGATGATATGCTCACGAATCCTGTAAATGGAGACGCGCTAACAGCCTCTATTACTGTATCATTTTTAATAATGTATTTATCTACAGTCGATAATACTAACGAGTTTGATTTGTTAGCAGTAATCTGGTATAACGTCAATTCTTTATCAGTTTTAAATACTCTTACAGTGGGATGTTCTGTGAGAAATTGACCTATGAGTACCTCAGCTGGCAATAAAGAACAAGGAACAACATATGCTATTAATTCTATATCCACAAAATCGACTCTTACTCTTACTTGTGCTTTACCAATTGGAGATATGGCGCTATTACCAAATCCCCGTAAGATAGGCAACTCGTCTGAAGAAAGTTTTAAATTTAAGTCTTTACACACTTTATCACTCAAGAGAGTGCATTCACTCCCAAAGTCAATATAGCCTTTTATTATTGTATCGTTAATTTTAACATCCTTAAAATATTTTTGATTACTCTCCATCACTGTTCCATCTATATTTAATACCCTCTTTGATATGTTATTAGTTTCTTCACTGTTTGTGGCGTTTGGTGTACCATAAATTTGTAATTTGCAATTTATATCTTTATGGCCATGGCGTCTGCATTTATTGCACCTTAGTATTTCTTTCGTACACTTCATAACTGTGTGACCAATTTCGCCACAGTTGTAACATGTTATGTGGTTCATGGTTCGTTTGTTAATAAAATAGTCGTGATTATTTATACTCTTTACCCCCAGCATAGATTGGTTTGGATATTTGTTTACGCTATCGTCATTTCTTTTATCACGTATATCGGTGTTAAATCGTTTAAGAAACTGTGGTGGTTCAGTTTTGTTACCAGTAATATAGCGAAAGTAATTTAAGACCTGTTCCGGGTTATTATAATGTGCACCTTGCACATTCATTCTTACGTTATAATCATATATCCCGTGAGTTACACTGCCTGTCGTCCCACAAGGTGACATCTATTAATGAGCATAATTTTGTCGTAGTAATACTCAACAAGAGTTTCGTTACGTCTACTTTTACGATTTAACATCTCAGACAGTAAGTCTCCGTAGTTCTGGTCGCAGGGAAACGTATTCAATAACTTTTCCTGCCACTCTGCCCAACTAAATTTAACACTCGTAAGTCCGTCATACCATTTCTTTGCTAAGCCCTTTAACTTTGGCAAAGCATAGAAAATAGTTTGTTGTTCCGACCAACCATACATTTCTGCTGATTCATTAATTTTTATGAGCCAATCTTTAATGTGTTGTGTTTTAGAACCAGGATCAAATTCCGTGATAATACTTTGTGCACCTTGCCCGTGCATGGCTGCATTGACTCGCGAATTACTACCTTGTAGTGCACTTACTAATTGTTGAAGTAAATTATTGTTAAGGGCTTGCTTAGAGTCTGCACTTTCAATGGATGTATGACTAGATATGCTACGCCGTATTTTTTTTTGTTTGTGCGAGTGCTTTGATTTGCGACGCGACCGTTCAATGTAAGTATAGTACGGAGTGCTTTCACGTTCGATACTCTGGCGGTGCCGCCGTTTCGTTCGATTTTGAACAGGTGATACAGATTCAATACGAGGTTTACGAGTAGTATGTTTTTCACGAGAGGGTGTTCGGCGATAACAACGGTGGCGATGTCGTTGCACTGTAGGTGATCGCAAGTATTCTGTATATGACGAATTTGAATCCGAAGTAAAATACCTGACCGAAACGCTACGGTTTCGTTTACGGCTCGGACGGTACGACTTGGCACGATCCATACCACCATCTCCTTTTGTTGGTAAAGGGGGTGTTAAACCACGATCAGACATTTTATGTAAATATATAAATACCACCTAGTGTATAAATGTGACAGATGACACGTAAGATCTACAATGTATTTTAAAATTACAATAATTTTAAAAAAATATAGTCGTAAACCGAACACTTCTTCTTTGTGTCTTTTACAATATCGAGTGCTGGAGCGAATATTTACCAACAACAAACCTTTATGAAAGATAAATTCAGACTATCCCACTTCTGAAATATAAAAATGAATAGATCTGGATGTCTTTTTAATTATTTAATCAATTTTAACAAAGCAGACTTCGTCACTTATTCAGTCTAATGCCGCCATATTGGCTCGCTAATTCCCTAGTACAATAACATTTAAAATATAAATACTTTTTTTTTATTTGAGTGACTAATTATGTGAATATAATTACTTGTACAATATTTATTATTAGTAAAGAAGTTATTTTTATAATTCTTAAATGTTAGGAATTAAAATTGAGTCTCAACTATTTTTATACAGGAAATAGCATAATGTATATGATAAAAGAATATCCAAAAAAATGAGCATTAATCGTTTAGAAACTTGTCATACAAAGAAATATTTATACTTAGTAATCCTAACAATACTTAATAATCTAACACTTGCGACAAAAAGGTGACGCTGTGTGTATGTTGGGATTGGAAGAGCATCGTTTATTGTGAGCTTTTACCGCCGAGGAAAACCATCAATTCGGATCTCTACTGCCCACAAAAAATGAGACTCGAGCAAAAAATTGAGAAAAACGGCCAGAATTGATCCACAGAAAAGGAGTGATCTTTCATGATAACCCCAGACCACACACATCTTTGGCCACTCACCAAAAATTGAGAGACTTGGTTGGGAAGTGTTAATGCATCCACTATATAGTCCTGACCTTGCACCCTCAGATTTTCACCTGTTTCGGTCTCTTCAGAATTCTTTGTTAACATCAAGTGAAGCCTGTTAAAACTATTCTTGTTGCGTTTTTGATCAAATTCCCAAGATTTCTACAGCAACAGGAATATTACACTACCTACAAGATAACAATAAGTTATCGAACAAAATGGCACATATATATTATAAATATATGTAATTAAACTCAAAAAGGAATGTCTTGAATTTGTACATAAAATACGAAGAAACTTTATAACCCCGACCTATTAACATTTTAGTTAGCATATAATATCCGCGGGAATTCTCTCGTAAAACGGATTCTCGTTAAAACTTGAGACTAATCATTAACTACATTTTGTAACAAGGCCGACTGTGTTTGCAATGATAGCGACATTTTTCCATAGCCATTCAATTAGGACCTTGATATGCTCTGCGAACTGTATGGTTTGACCTTAAACTTTCTGTACAACTCATTGCTAAGTTTAAGTTTTTTTTTTGGTATTATCTATTTTGATTAATTTGTTTGTTTCAAGGTGTTTAATTTATTGCTTTCAATGCTTCAAATATTATAATGATTTCGTTGGCCATAATTTATAATTTGTGTTGGATTTATCAATAGTTCTTATTTTATTGGTAAGTATTAGTATTTAAAGTAAAACTTAGGTGCGACTCCGGATGTTTTTCGGACGGAAGTAAATTAAAAGAAAAGTTATAGGCTATTTTCGTCCCACTGCTGGGTACAGTACAGGCGTCATCTTATTTCTGAGGGTTTTAAGGTAAGGAATTGGTCGCCGCGCTGCCTCAATGCGTGCTGACGTTCTTAGTGTCTTTGAAATATTTTATTTCTCAGACATGCAGGTTTCGTCACGATGTTTTCCTTCATCGCCAAACACTTGGTAAATCAGCACTAAAAGTTGCAATTAACAATTTATAATAATGCCGGCGGGGATCGAACCCGGGTTGCTCGCGCACTGTGTTTGTGGTTAGCGCTTAGCTAAGTTACCACGGCTCTAGACGGTAACGAGGACGGAAGTAACGTTCCAATGAGCTTGATTTTTTTATCATTACTCTGAATATGAAAAAAACGGGGTATATTGAAAAAAAAATAATCACAAAACCAATTTTATTGATAATTATTGATAAAGCAGTAAGAAACAGAATATATATATATATATATATATATATATATATATATATATTATATATACTCATTTCTTTTTGTAGAATGCCTAAAGGCGTCAATATACTTAGGGACAGCAGCCTAGTGGCACTGTGTGGACCGCGAACTCGAAAGGTCTTCGGTTCGAATCCGATATCCGACTACTGTCGTGAACCACTCCTAAGACAAGCATTTTTACCTTACCTGAAGTGGTTAAAGGGATTATTAGTAATGCTAATAGTATGCTAGTATTATTTTTTTTAAGAAAAGTAAATCAAGTGCGTCGTTCGTACTCTTTAGCTATAGGAAATGCGACAAAGAATAGATATATTATGTCAGTTAGTAAATGATGGTTTGTTTGTCGCAGGTGTGCAGACGTGCCGCTCCGTGCGGCGCACGTGCTCGAGGCCGCTTAGCACGTGTTCGGCGCTTTGCAAAGCCACCACCGAGCAGCCGCCAGGGCAGAATGGCACCCCTCATGCACCGCCCAAGGACACGACCACAGGTGAGCGCTGGAACTACTCATCTTCTGCTTCATTTTCTCTGTCGCCTCTTGAGACACCTACGTCACAGTCTAACTACTACATATAAACAGTCGGTCATCGAAAGCGTCTAGACCAGGGGTCGGCAGCCTTTTAAGTCAGAAGAGTCAAAAATTACAATTAACAAAATTTTAAAGTTTTAAAGAGCCACAATTTTTTTCTTGCCAACCATAAATAGTGCTTGCATAAATAAAGTTTTTTGATAAAAAAACTTATCTGTTTATTTTATTCATACGAAAAATATTTATTTATTTTATTTACAAACGGCGGACTTAATGCCATATGGCATTTTCTACCAGCCAACCGGAAAGTTAGTGGGAAATGTGTGTACTGCAGTGGGCTAAGATGAAACCTAAAATTAATAAATTTATACACATACACCCCCCGCCCCCATATACACACACCACACATACATACTCGTAGCTCAAACTTAATTAAATATATATAAGGATCTAATAGATTAAATGTTATAGATTATTTATATATTTATGTGTCAGATGAACCCAAATAATGTTCCTTACCTTTTGTTTAAAAAATCCACTTTCTAGGGGATTTTCTTATTGCTAGGGGAAGCGCATTCAAGAGTCTTACATCAGTAACAGCGAAAGAGTTTGAGAGGAAACCAGTACGGTGAGAGGGAGTATGGAGCACGAGATTGTTACGAGTGCGAAGATTGCAATCATGGGAAGAACCCAGGTATTGAAACTTACATTTCAAAAATGGATCGTTAAGTATAGTGAACAGAGTGCTAAGAATTCTAAGGCTCCTGCGTTGTGGGATATTTAACCATTTAAGTTGAGAGCGATAGAAAGAGACGTGGCCATACTTTCGAAGACCGTAAATGAAACGGATACAGTTGTTGAGAAGCCGATCCAATTTATTGACCAAGTATTTGTCTGCATCTAAGTAACACACATCAGCATAATCAAACATAGGAAGAATAAGCGATTGAATTAGAAGTTTCTTCGTACAAGGCGGTAAGATATTTTTATATCTGTACAATTGTCTCAACGTAGTACAAACTTTACGGCTAACTTCCTCAACATGACTGCGCTAAGTAAGTGAACAATCCAAGGTTAATCCCAAGTCCCTAACATGAGAACTGTAAGGAATTACCTCGCCATTATAAATCAGAGGATCGAACGATGTATAATTAAGTTTACTTAATTGACGTGCGCTGCCCAAGACTATAGCCTGGCATTTGCTTGGATTAACAGCGACCCCGTACCTTCTTGACCAATTAAGAATCCAGTTAAGATCGGAGTTAATTACGGTTACAGCATTATTCATGGTAGTAGCATCGGCATGAGCATAGAGTTGCAAGTCGTCGGCATACATATAGTAAGAAGCACGAAAATTACAAGTAATCATGTTAATAAATATAGAGAAAAGTAAAGGAGAGAGAATTCCACCTTGCGGAACACCAGTGGTTAATTCACCCCCATCGGACACCATACCATCAATCCGAATCGCCTGCTGGCGACCTCGAAGACAGGAGGAGACCCAATTCCGTACTGATAAAGAAAAACCTATGTAAGACAAGATGCCGATGAGAATATCATGGTCAACGGTATTAAAGGCGTTAGAAAAATCTATTAATACTAACACCGTCAACTTTACAAACTCCATGCCATCACGCACATCCTCTGTTATTTTTAAAAGCGCCGTTGTGGTGCTATGTCCGGGTCGAAATCCTGATTGGTGTTGATTCAGTAAGTTGCTTTTGGTTAAGTGAGTTTCTATCTGTTTGAGCCCTACAGCTTCTAAGACTTTTGATAAAAACGGCAAAATCGAGATAGGCCGGAAGTGGTTGAGAACACTGGGCATAGAGAAAATATATATTTATTGATCATATAAAAGTAGTGTTTTTTCACAACAAATTAGAATACGCATACGCACATGTTTTTTTTAAATCGATCAATTATATTTCTAGGAATCTAGTATCAACTTCAAATGCCCCAGTGTGGATTTCGTATGTGGGTGCGGTGAAAAGCGAGTACAAGTGGCTGAGAGATAGAAATGGTGCTTAATACTCGTTCATTGATTCGGAACGATTCTTAAATGTTTTTTTTTAATAAAATAATTAATATTTGCGTATGGAACTAAAGAGCCGCAGCTTCACATCCAAAGAGCCGCATGTGGCTTGCGAGCCGCAGATTGCCGACCCCTGGTCTAGACGGACCAGTCGTGCGGTGTGGTGCGGGACGATATGCGGACGGAGCGCTCCCGAGCTGTCATTAGTCGATCAGGAGCTGTCTGCTAGAGTTGTCCTGTCACGCAAATAAAATAAAAATGGTTCACACTACATGTGCGGTAAAATCTGTGGGTCGTTTTAAAGATAAGGAAGTAAAATTTATCAGTTTCCTCATACACAGAAATTTGTTTAAGCGTGAATAAACCCGTTCTGACAACCCTGATATAAATTACATCTTCCATATAATATATCTTATAATTAAATTAAAA